TTGCTTCAGTCTCCCTAGTAGCTGGGATTATAAACCTGGCCTAGCTTTATCACATAATCCTAGCACCACAGCTGCTTGTTAACGAACCTTGGTTTCTTGAACTGAAGTTTCCAATTTCCTGACTTAGACTCTGATCTCTTGGCAGTGGTCTTAGACTCAGGACTCCCTGCCATCAATGTTTCTAGAAGTGACTGTTAACTGATCTGATCTATAGGACCTATTAATTCCCCTCTTGCTTAGCTATCTTCTTCTCTGCCCACTGTTTCAGTAAGAAATAACATTTTTAGTTTTAATGAAACAAGAAAGGGGCAGGATGTACATATACACAGTAATAATAATAAATAAATACAATTTTTAAATCAATCACCTAAAGCCTTAAGAACTAGAAAAAGAGAAGTAAAGTATATGAAGCAAATAGAGGTCAGGAAATAATAAAGATTAAAGTAAGAACATCAATGAAACAACAACTAATGAAACCACATATTGGATCTTTGAAAAAAATTATAAAATGTATAAACAATACAAAGAAAAAATAAGGAGGATACAAATTACTAAAACCAGGAAGAGATGGTCTGTTGATTTTATATAAAAAGAACATAAGGAAATACGACAAATAATTTTAAGTGACCAAATCAGAAAACCTATACACAAGTATCTAGAAATCACAAATTATCATGTGACTAAAAAGGAAATAGAAAAATTTAAGCATTACTATAAGAAAAGCCTAACATTTTTATAATGAATTAGTAATTTTAAGATGTTTTAGGAAAACTTCATGTCCACATAGCTTCAGTGGTAAATTATATGAAACTTCTAAAGAAATAAAATTCTTTACAAATTTCAGACTATAGAAAAGACCATGATTCCACTTCTCATTTAGCCATCGAGGCCACTATTATTCTGATACCAAAGCCAAACAAAGACATACATCATATTTAGTATCACGTAAAAATAATTATACACTGCTACAAAATGGAATTTATACTACAAATACAAGGTTGGTTTAGCATATGAAAACAAATATAATACCATGTTGTCAGAATATAACCAGTCATAATAAAAACTCTCAGTAAACTTAAGAGTAAAAGGGAATTTTCTTATAGTAAGCCACCCACAAACAGATTAAGATTGAACACTGTGCTGTATGTAAAATAAATAAGGAGGACTGGAACACTTTCACCAATTTTTTGCGACATCATACTACATAGAGCATGAGAGGCAGTAGCTGTTGTAGTTGATCAGAGGAATTCTTCCTTCCTTTCTTTCTTTTTCAGACAAGGTTTTTCTGTACAGCCCTGGCTGTTCTGGAATTCACTCTGTAGACCAGGCTGACCTCGAACTCAGAGATCCACCTTTCTCTGCCTCCAAGTGATGCGAATTAAGGTGTGTGCCACAACCACCACGCAGGATATTTTTTTTAAAAACAGCTAGATAATCATAACATTCCTCTACATTACTCAAAAGCCTTACATAACCTGATCTTACTCTTTAATACAATTTCTCCATAGTCTAATATCCCTTGCTCACTTTCTCTCTAGACACTAAGGACACCTTTAGTTTCTTTAAACATAACCAACATGTTTCTGTTTCAGAACTTCTGACCTTGCTGAATCCTTGTGCCTAGAATGTTAGTTCAAGACATACAAAGCTCAATACTTCAGCTTCTGCACCAACCTTATTTTCTCAGACAGACCTTCTTTTAATCTACCGTTCTCCTTATTCCCTTATCCTACATAATTTTTCGTTGTATTTATTCATTCTTCTGCTTTCTTCAACTAAAATATGAGATCTAACTACTTTCTTTTCATTTTTGGGTTTCTCTGTTTAACAGCCCTGGCTGTCCTGAAACTCACAGAGATCCACCTGCCTCTGCCTCCCCAGTGCCGGGATCAAAGACGTGCACCACCACTGCCCGGCTGAGACCAAACTATTTTATTCACTGCTAGATCTCAAAACCTGAAAGTATGCATGGTATATAGAAAACACCAATAAGTACTAAGTAAATGAATAACTTCTTTAAAACAGAAAATTTGTATAGTAGGATGAATAAAAAGGGGGAGCTATTGATTCAAAAGGCTAAAAAGGACAACAATTTAAAAACCCAAACCCAAGTATAACAAAAAAGTCTTGGGTCTCTATACCCAGATTCTACTATATTCTAAGATTAGCTCTTCCAATTAATACCTACATGCCTTCTCTAAGACTCAGTAATTTATAAAACAAGAGTATCACCACATACCTCCCAAGTTGTTATGAAAATGAAATAAATTTATATAAAAGATTCAGAATGTGCCTAGTAATATAGTATATCTCACAAATAACTAACTTTTCTGATGAAAAGTTCCTAAGTTCCACCCCCATCTTAGGTATTTATTTGTATGGCTATTATCCACTCCATATTCAATGCCTTTCTGTCTATTATTTTAAATACACTGTCATTTTTCTTTCACCCTTTCCCTTACTGTCAGCTTTTGCCTCTTACCTCTAGCTGCTATTAATTATTAGCATAGCTCCTCTCATTGTTTTTATTTGTATCTGCAGAAGTTCAAAAGCACGACTGCTAAGCTTGGAATAACATATTAAAAATAAGAATAAATCAATCTATGCAAGGCTTAAGGATGGCAATGCTTTGCTTCCCTGTTTTTCAGTTGAGCTCTAGGAACATGAGACTGCTAGATAAATAAACTATTATACATACACCTGTGTATTACACTTATTACAAGAAACCATTCACATATTTAAGTAATGGTAGAATGTTTTCACAGGTCAGTAAGTTCTAAGCTTAGTACACAAGCCATGGAAAGATCAGAATTGTGGAACTTTAAATCACCAAGACAGAAAGGTGGGAGTAAAAACCTGAAGATTCAGAGTACAAAGAAAAACTGGGACTTGCCAACACTAAATTCAAGAGCACCATGTGGACATTATATTCCTCTGTGCCCCTTCATGTAGACAGAAGGGAAAAACAAAACAGCCTAAATCACTGGCCAAGGGAAAAAAGCAAAACAGTAGGAAAACTGGAAGGACAGATCTTCAGTAAGGTATGAAACTTCAACATGGGTATCATCCTTCCTTTCACTAACAGTGGGTGTGCTAGTGGGCTATTCTTCTGAGGCAACAAGAAGCAAGCAATGTACAGGGCTAGTTAGTGCTGAAATTGGTTTTTAAAAAGAGCTGCTTTAAGACCTATCTACCACAGACAAGGCTTTGAAGCCTAGGCACCTGAGTACATTTACACCTAACTCTGCAGAGCATATGCTACAAACTTCAACTACCATTTCCCTATGATAAAATATCGCTCTAGATAGGTCCTGCAGGAGAAGAGGGAGAGAAAGATAGGGAGAAAGAGTTACAGTAGAATTCCCTAAGGAAAACACTCCCCTTTTGACTTTGGGGAGTAGGGTAACAAACAGGTCTGACTTTCTTGTTTCATTCACGTTACATATTAATTCACAGAAGTTTTCTGTCTTAGATTTTTTGTTTGGTTCTCTACATTATTACTGAATGGTTGTATACACATATGGCAGGGAGTTGGGGATTTAGATTAGTAGCAGAGTACTTGCCAAGCAAATACAATTTTCTATGTTCAGTCCTTAGCATACACACAAAAAAATGTCATAGGGAAGAATGAAAACTGTCCAAAGACATAATGAGAGATAAAAGATTAAAGGCTCAGGTATTGCCAGATGGTAGTGGTGCACTTTATTCCCAGCACCTGAGAGGCAGAGGCAAGTGAATCTCTGCGAGTTTGAGACCAGTCTGTCTCCAAGAGCTAGTTCCAGGACCGGCTCCAAAACTATAGGGAAACCCTGTCTCGAAACCACCCTCCCCCCCCCCAAAAAAAAACACCTCAGTTATCTCAAGGTGGTACATGCCTTTAATCCCAGGACTCAGAAGGCAGAGGCAGGCAGATCTCTGTGAGTTAAACGACAACCTAGTCTACAGAGTGAGTTCCAGGATAGCAAGGGCTACACAGAGAAGCTCTTACCCAATGTCAAGTCAGCTGTCTAGGTCCCTGACTCCTATCAGTCCAACTTCATCTTAGATCCCTTCACTTTTAGATATTTTCTTCTTCCAGTCACAGTTAGATAAGCTACTGCCTGCTTAAGATCTTCCTGTCATTGATCATACCTAATTCCTCCCTGTCCTGATGGGCTCCTCAAATAACTTGAATCTCTGAGGAAGGGTAGTTCCTTAAATTTTCTTTATTTTAAAAAAAAAAAAAAAAATAGAAGAGAAACAGCAGGATTTCAGGGAAACTATCAAGCCATTCTCAGAAAAGTCTTTCACATCATAATGGTATTCATAGTGAACTAATTCTAAGATCAGCTTTATGGGTTCCTAGATTATCTGCTTCAAATTCTTCATCTATAAAATGGAGTTGTCTAAATAAGGGGAAAGCTAGCATAATAAATTTTCAATATGGTGATTTCCCTTCCTCTCTGGGCTGCTTAACACTCATTTCACACAGCTCTACTGGATCACTGCATCCTTACTCATTCATGATCACATTCTGCAGGACAGAGAAGACTGAAGATTTCCTTATGCTAACCTGGGGCTTGGTAGGACACAGCTCTACTGGATCACTGCATCCTTACTCATTCATGATCACATTCTGCAGGACAGAGAAGACTGAAGATTTCCTTATGCTAACCTGGGGCTTGGTAGGTCAAAGAGGCTGAAGTCAAGAAGATCCCCAATGGGGATGTAAGTTCTAGGTCCTAAGATTTACCCTTTTCCCCAGCACTGGCAAAAGCAAGAAGGAAGGAAGCTCTTTTTTTCCTGGCAAATGATTCCAAACATTCTTAGGGCAACTCTAAGAAAGTAACCTCAATCCTACTCCCAGGCCAGCAGGCTATCTAGACTCACATCCAATCTCTAGAATAATCTAACCCCTAGAGAAAATAGTAATTGTAAGATATTAGTACAAAGGCTGAAAAGAATCCCTAAACTAGTTACCCTTTATCTTAGCTCATGGTTACCCAAATACCCTCACTCACCTATACCAAGAATGAGTTTAGCCAGCTACTTCGTCCTTAGAGTTACAGGGTCAGCAGCAACTGTCTCTAGAATCAGGACTCACCTGTAACAGAAAAGAGGTCTGTCAAGGGTCTTAAACCTTACACATTTTGAATCCTGGTTTCTATCATTTCAGACCATGTTGAGTATTAGGAATAAAATTTAAACAGTCATGAAAAAAAAAAAAAAAAAAAAAAAAGAGTAAGAGTAGAATCTACTTTAGATAAAATGGCATGAAAAGCCTTTCAAAGGATGCCATGAGAGCCTGGAGGGAAAAACCAAGGGCTTTTCTTAAAAAAAAAAAAAAAAAAAGGCAGTAATGACCCATTACATAAATCTTACTTATCGTTTGAGACAGGATCTCATGTAGCTCAGGCTGGGTTTAAATTAAATAAGTAACCAAGGATGGCCCTCAACTCCTGATCCAAATCCTCCTACCTCCACATTCCAATCCTGGTTGGGCAGACGTACGTGTGTGTGAGCGCGCGCGTGTACACGTTTTGTTTTGAGACAGGGCTTCCCTGTATTGCTTTGGTGCCTGTCCTGGAACTAGCTCTGTAGACCAGGCTGGTCTTGAACTCACAAAGATCCTCCTGAGTGCTGAGACTAAAGGTGTGCGCCACCAACCCCCAGCACCTTTTGTTGGTTTTTTTTTTTTTTTTTTTGTTTTGTTTTGTTTGTTTGTTTTTGCTTGTTTTTTATTTTTCAAGACAGGGTTTCGCTGTGTAACAGTTCTGGATGTTGTGGAACTCGCTTTGTAGACCAGGGTGACCTTGAAACCACAGAGATCCCATTGCTTCTGCCTCCCAAGTGCCAGGATTAAAGAAGCCTCAACTGCCCAGCCAGTTGTTAGCCTGTTGTTACATAAGGAGTTCAGAAAGGTACATTAGTTACTTTTCTGTAAGCACTTAGCTACTTTCCTGTGACAAATATCTGACAAAATGCCACTTAAGAGAAAGCTCAGCAGTTAAAAGCCCTTTGCTGCTCTTACAGAGACCCAGTATTTAGTTCCTGACAGCCACAAGACAATGTACAACTCCAGTTGCAGGTGATCCAATGCAGTTATCAGGCACATACACATATGCCAACAAAGACACACATAAAATGAAAATAACCGTTTTTTAAAGCCACTTCTGGGAGGAAGAGTCTATTTTGGCTTTAAGATGGGATAGAGGAAACTGAAGAGACTTTAGAGCACTTGTTCTTGCAGAGGACCAAGGTTCAATTCCTAACGCCCACATGGTGACATACACTCATCCATAACTTAAGTCCAAAATCCTCTTCTGACTTAGGCAGGAACCTGGCACACATATGGTACACAGACATACATGCAAGCAAAATATTCTCACACATAAAATAAGCTAGGTTTAAAAAGAAAGAAAGAAAGGAAAGAAAGGAAGGAAGGAAGGAAGGAAAAGACCACCTGAGTTTCATCCAAAAGACCCAAACGGCAGAAGAGAACTAACTTAACAAGAGAATTGTCCTCTGACCTACACACATTCATACATACACAATTAAATTAATAAGTCAATATTAGAAAGAACGAAGGAGAAGAGATATATATCCCACAGTAAACTACTTCTTCTAGGTAGACTCCAGCCTACACCCTTTCAAAACAGCACCACCAGCTCAGGACAAAGTATTCAAATACATGAACTCATTAAGTGAATTATTTCAAACCACAACAGGCTTTTTACCATACTGGATCATATCTTTTCTTTCTTTTCTTTCTTTCTTTCTTTTTTTTTTTTTTTTTAAACCATTTACTGATTTAGGTGAGGGTGGAGTTCTCTCGCACATAAGCATGCTATGTATGGTACATGTGTGGTGGTCGGAAGACAACTTAGTAGAGTCAATTCTCTCCTCTCACCATGTAGGTTCCAGGTTTTAAACTCAGGCAAGTCCCTTTACCCACTGAGTCATCTTACTCTCCCCTCCGCCACCAATTAAAGATGGTTTTATTTGGGGGCTAGAGAGATGGCTCAGTGGTTAAGAGTTTTTACTTGCTGTTCTGACCTATTTGTTTCCTAACACCCACATCAGATATCTATCTCATAAACACTTGCCAAATGCAGCTCCAAAGCCCTCTTCTGGCCTCTGTGGACACCTGCATATACAGGGCATTCCCTCACACAAACATAGACACACATAAATAAATATATGAAAAATAAATCTTAACACACAAAAATAAAATCATAAAGGATTGACTTATTTTTATGATTCTGTGTGGGTTTGTGTGAATGAATGTCAAATGTGTGCAAGTGCCCATGGAGGCCAGAAAACATCAAATCCCCTGAAGCAACAGTTAAAGGTAGTTGTGAGACACTGGAAGTGGGTGCTGGGGCCTTACTCTTTCAGAGTAGCAATTATTCTCAGTCACTTCATCACCAAGCCATTTCTCCAGCCCCTGGAGACTATATTCTAAGGGTTGAGATTATTAACAAGTAGGTCTGTCCTGAAATATCTAATCAAAGTACTTTATATAATTATGTGGAGACCTTTCTGAGAATCAGCATTTGCTGTGTCCTGGATGTGTATTCTATCCCTGTTCCCGGGAACCACATTACTGTGGCCCAATTAACTGCAAATTAAGACTCTTCAGAATTACTCCTCCCTTAGGCCATGCTACTTTAGAGTATTCCATCTAAAAATAGGGAACAGATTCTACAAAAGTATAAGGAAACCAGGAATATATATCTAGAGGCTAAGGGAAAATAAGTTACAAAGTAATATAAAATTATGGGAACACTGGAGCCTGGACAGCAAAAGCAGACTACTCAAGCAAAAGGCCCAGGGAGGGAGAAAGGGAATACTGCAAGGGGTAGAAGAAAATATAAACCTGACAAAAACAATCATTTCCCATATTTGTAAACAAATTTTTAAAAACGTCCTTACACATCCCTTGGTTCTTTACAATGATTTCCAAAGTCTAAAGAAAGGTTACTTGAAAGGGGTACTGAAGCTATCTTCCTGAGGGAAGGGGAGAGGTAAAGGGAGGACAGGGAGAGGGACAGGGAGGGAGAAAGCCAGTAACTTAATGTCAGAACATTAATACATGCCACAAAAATTGAAATTCAATCCAGGCAGTTTCCAGCCTGCCTGGAGGAATGTCCTAAGAATACAACGGATGTGCATATTCTTGCTTTTGCATATTCTGGGAACTAAGTAAGAACATTTCTCCTTCCTCAGCTGAAGCTTGTCTCCAGTTTTTCCCTCCTCCTTCCCTAAGAACCAACCCTGCAGAAATTATCAAGGGAGGCACAAGTAATTACTGTTTTCTTTTCTCCATGCTAATGAGACAGTTGGATGGTTCCCCTTCCCCCTCTAGAGCTAGGAGGAGAATCTCAGGCTTTACAATCAGAAACCAACATGCCACACAGTGCTCTGTGCAACTGAGACTACACAGAAATAGCTTTCCTATCCCTGAAGAGAGCAGCACTAGAAGGACCATAACTTCTCAGCACCATACTTGCACTATGGGTTCATGTGTGCCCTGCCCCCCATTCACCATTCAATAAATAAATACATAAAAAAATTTTTTTCTAATTTTGAAGAAATTTATTTTGGTTCAAAGTTTCGGGGTAGCTACTACAGCAGAAGTATGAGGCAACTGGACACACTACAACCATAATCAGCAGGCAGGGTTAAGAATAATACTGGTGCTTAGCTTGCATTTTCCTTCTTATTCAGTCTGGGACTTCAGCCTATGAAATCATGCCATCTATATTCTTCCCTGCTTTTAAGTCTTTCTGAAAACACCTTTATAAACACAACCAGAGGTATGTCCCATGGTGATTCTAAATACCAACTTGACAATGAGGATTAGCTATCTCTATCAGGAAAGGACTAGAAACCATTAAGTTTCACTCTGATAAAGAATCAGGCTGCATTCTATATCCTAAAAGACATGAATATGGTGAATTTAAAGGTAACAGACTAATTTGGTGAAAAAAATTTCATGAGTGTTATTGCTTGCTGCATTTACCTACATTTACATCAAGAGAAAGAAATAAATAAAGCAAAAAGTATAGAAAATAAGAAAAGGAGCTTGAATCTGGTTAAAGCTGAAAACACAGTAATGTGAACAAAGTAGCTGTTAATTGTTGAAAATATTAGCACTTTGGGGCTGGAGAGATGGCTCAGTGGTTAAGATCACTGACTGCTCTTCCAGAGATCCTGAGTTCCAACTCCAAGCAACCACATGGTGGCTTACAACCATCTATAGTGGGATCTGATGCCCTCTTCCGGCATAAAGATATGCATGCAGATAGAGCACTCATACATAAAATAAATAAATCTTTTTAAAAAAAAAATTAGCACTGTTACAGAGAAACCTCAAGCTCTGCACTCAGACAGTAAGAAAGGTACCTTGAATGCAGGACTCAATCTATTGAAAACTCTGGGCCATCCTGTCCTAAGTGTCACTTAGGAAAGTGTTTTCTGCCCATCAAGAACAGAAGCAACAGTTGTAATCCAAGAGGACCATGCTACATCTCAAAATTGGAAGAACTTGGCATCACCACCCATTGGTGCTGGTTTGCAAATATGCAAAGTACAAATTCAAATCAGCTAAAGCACAGATCATAATTCAAACACTAAACACAGAGTTGTAAGGTTTGGTGTTGCTCTACTAGGTTTCAGTCTTTTATTTAGCCCAACCCTGCTTGCTATCCTCCCAATCTACACTTATAACTTTGTTTTTTTAATAATCGCAAGGGCTCACAGCAAAGAGTGTGTCTCATGGTTCAGGTGAGACTTTGGACTTACAAGGACTTTTGAAGTTATACTGAAGATATTTCTCCCTCTCCCTCCCCCACTCTCCCCTCTCTCTTCCAACAGGGCTTCTCCGTCTAACATCCCTGGCTGGCCTGGAATTTGCTTTATAAACTTTGCTGGCCTTGAACACAAGAGATATGCCTGCCTCTGCCTCCCAAGTGCTGAGATTAAAGACTGCAACATCATACTTGGCTATATTTCTCATTTTTAAAATGTAAAGAAATCCTCACAATGATTCTCCCCATCTGATGACACTGTTTAGGAGGATTGTGGAACCTTCAGAAAGTG